TTACTTTCAGGGCATGAAATATATTTTTCCATATTTTCCTGTATTTTTAATGTTGCTAATGAGTTAGTATTATTTTAATTTGTTTGCTTTTGTGGGTGAGTTGTTTTCCTCTTACAGCTTTTAATGTTGTTTTGTTTCCTTTTTTGTGCTGACATCTTGACTATACTATGTTGTGTAAAGGGTTTTCTCTGGTAATGTCTATTTGAGATTCTGAATACCTTTTGTAAACATTTTTTTGTTTACAAGGGTATCATGTCTTTTCCTAGATTTTTGGAATTTTCTGCTGTAATTTCACTGAATAGATTATCACTGCCTTTAGTTTACATATTAGCTCCTTCTGTTGTCACAGTGATTCTTAGGTTTAGTCTCTTGATCATATCCCAGAGATCTCAGGGAATGTTGATACGTTTGATTTCCCCCTCCCCCTTATTGATGTTTGAGCATAGAGTTCCTTCACCTTGTTCTTCATTCCTAATGATTTTTCTGCTTGGTTGAGTCTATATTTAGTGCTTTCCACTGTGGTTTTTTTGTTCTGTTTTGTTTTGTTTTTTATTGGTTTGGCTCAGTTTCTCTTTTCTAAAATTTCTTTTCTTTTAGAAAACCTGGATTTCCTTGGTGACTTTTTCTGTGTTGCTGACTTTTTCATTCATATTGTTGATTTTCTCATCTTTTTTTTTTCTTCTTCTTCTCTGTATTACTGACTTTCCTCACCAGGTCCATGATTGAATTCATCTTCTTGTTTGTATCCTTTTTCAGGCCTTTGATCATGTTCACTGTAGACTCCTGAAATCTTTATCTAGCTATTCTATTTCCATATCTTTGATTTCAGTGGTTAAGGATATGCAATCTTTTAGAAAAGCCATGTTGTCTTGCGGTTTTGTGTGTTAAGCTTATGTTTCTGTTATGTTATTCATGCATCTATTATTTAGACCCTGAGGTTTTCTTTGAGGATCTTCCTATTGAGTAGGCTACTCCTGGGAGCTCAGTCTATAGTGCTAACCAATGAGGAGGAAACAGACTGTTAGTGCAGCAGTAGTAGGCTCTTTCAACCTCCTTAAGCTTGGCTTCTTTTACATGTAGTTTCACTTTTTAAGCATTCTATTACTTTGTGAGTTTCTGAAGTTCAGTCTCTTTTCTCTTTTCATATAAAGTGTATTTTTTTCTTACTATGTCTCTTCTCCTTCACTAGCTTACCTGGAGGCAGCTCCTAAACTACCATATTAACTAGAAAATCTTGCTTCAGGATTCTTTTTGCTATTTTTATTTATTATTTTTTATTATTTTATGTGTGTGAGTGTATTGCCTGCATGCACCCATGTCACGCAATGCCCATGGAAGCCAAAAGAAGGCTGGAACTGGAGTTAGGATGATTGTTAGCTGCCATGTGGGTACCAGGAACTGAACCTGGGTCTGCAAGAGCAGCCAGTGCTCTTAACCTCTGAGCCATCTCTCTGATCCCATTGTTTCAAGATTCATAATACTTACAGTTGCACAGGCTCTGGATTTTGCGACTGAATCATAATTATTTAATTTTTACCAATGGCCTCACTTTCTTCTGGCTTTCTACCAGAAGCTGACTAGCTTGTGGAATGATACATCTGTGCTTTACTTGCAATCATTTTGTAGCTTGAATAACTATATATTGAAACAAATTTAAAATTTAGTATCCAGATTTACTGATTTTTAAGGAATAATTTGTGCTAAGGCAGAAATATTGTTGTATTAAGTACAAGACAGTCAGAAATCTCTTCTAAATCTATGTAACATTATTGGGAAATAGCTGCGTTATAGTTCTAACATCCCAGTATTTACCCAATTTCAATGCTACATAAGTATTATCTCTTTTTTTTCTATTTGCTAATTCAGAAGATATAATTCATATATAATGCATTAGTAATCAAATGATACTGAATAATAATTTGAGTAATAATTTGGTTGTTAATCAACAGATTACCACATATTGCACAATAGTGGTACAGCTCTCTCCATAGGGCTTACAGTTGAGTGTGGCTCATGGAGAGTGCAAAGAGGGTCATGTGGAGAAGAAAACTTCAAAAGGGCAAGAGGAGGATGGGGAAAGGCCAGATAAACTGTAGAAGGAAAGAATATCAGAATTCCGCAGAAAACTGGGGTATTTTCATACTGTATTTTCTAATCAAATTATAGAAAAAATGTTTTTTATTTAAAGTAATTGTGTAGTTTAAACAAAATGCTATGAGACGCCAAAACCAAAAGGTATACTTTTTCTGAAACTAGTCAACATATATCAAGGAAAAGAATGAGCATATAAATATTGGTCCAAACAGTATCTTAAGTAAATATTGATTTCAAATTCATTTTAGTAGGCATTTTGTACCTCTTGAAAAAGTTAGTTATTACCTTTGTTGTTTACTGTCAAAATTACATTCTGTTCATATTTGAAATGTAAGATTGATAGTGGTTTAGCAATCATCATGCCAATTTAAGACTTTTGGCATTCTGCTGAAATAAATAAGGTAAATCATCTGCCATTAAGTTTATTTTTAAAGCAAAATGCTTATTGACTTTGTTAGTAGCCCACCAAATTTGTATAGCACTTGATTTGTGGTTAAGAAGTTAGAAAAGGGGAATATCTAAGTAGATTTAGGTGGGTGTTCATTTTTCCATTATTTGTACTAAAGGAAAAGCCATTAAATCTTCACCTCTACTGTTTTTCTATTTAAGGAAGCCTAAATCTCCAGCAAAAAGGGTTAAAAAAAGGTCAGCAAATGGCAACTACATGGTAGTCTTTCTTTACAATTTATAGTTTAATGCAGAGGCGTAATAGAAAATGAATGCTTTGTTTTAGGGTCATGTGTTCAAGCATACTTTTTTATTTATATAGTGCTAGAAACTACTCAAACAAAAGAGAAAAGGAAACCATAGCTTTTAGTGTCCTGTTAAGAATGGATGGATAAAACTAATTCTCCCTCTCTCGGCCTCCATTGATTGCCTGCAGCTCTTTATCTTGAGATGGGAACCCTGTGACTTTCTTCCCATCCACTGTGGCACGTCAGCTGCTTTTGTCATTATGCAGATCTTGTTCAGATTACCATACTGTGGAGATTTTATTGGTGCAGCTTCCCTATCATGTCTAGATTGCTTTAAATAGCAGTAGGTATCTTGTCCCTCTGGCTCTTACATTCTTTCTGCTCCCTCTTCTGTAGTGTTCCCTGAGCCTTGGGTGTAGAGATTGAGTTGTAGATGTGTCACTTAGGGCTCCTCGCAGTCACTTGTTCTCTGCATTTGACCTGTTGTGAAACTTTAAAATCATCTGTTGCAAGAAGAAGTTTCTTTGATGAGTGGTGAAAGGTACATTTGTCTATAAATATAAGGATATGTATTTATAATACAGTAAGAACTTACATTGGTCTAGATAATGACAGAAGTAGGTTTTTCTCTAGGATCTATGACCTCTGTGTACTTGGTTGTGTAGGGACTAGCTCCATGAGAGGTTATCTAATCCCAAATGGATAGCTCCAAACACAGGTACACGTGAGCACCACTAAATGGACTCAGTGCATTGTGTGTGTATATAAATTTATTTATGTATGTATAACAATAATTTAAAAAAGACAAAATTGAGAGGGAGGAGTGTATGGGAAGAGTTCAGGGGACTAGGAGGAATGGAAATAATGAAAAGATAATACTCAAGTGTGAAATTCTCAAAAATTAAAAAAAAAAATTAAAAAGAGTGAATGGAGACTGCAGATGAATTCCATGGTAGAGAGTTTGCCTAGCATGTGTAAGGCCCTGGGTTTGTCTTGGTAGGGGGAGAGAAGAAGGAGGAGAAGAGAGAGAAAAGAAATATACCCTCCATCTGTTTCTACAAACAGAAGTGCCACTGGTGTGGCTTAGTGTGTGTGCTTGCCCAGTGTTCAGGAGGCTGTGTGTGCTTACCCAGCATGTATGAGGCCCTATTTTTATCTTCAAAACAATGAATGCAAAGTTGAAGGCTATTCAGTATGGTCAGTATTGTTCATATGTAACTCTAGAAATTTATTTAGTGCTTCTAAAACAGAACTTTTTTAATTTCTAAAAACTAAACTTCTAATTTCATTTAATTTTAATTGATTTAAGTTTAAAAATTGATACTTGATTTATTTTTCAGAATGTTTAAGTATATTTCACTATGTGAATCTATTTTTCAGTTCTAAGTTTTATGTACTTTAAATGTTGATCAAATATTTTAAATGAAAGCTTACATATAACCTGACACATCCCATAAGTGAAAACTGTCGTATTTCAAAGATTTGAGATATATTAGGATAAGGAAAATATATCATTAAAATAAATTTAACCTTTTTTCTAACTTTACATATGAAGCTAACTATAAATTTTGAATTGCTACTTGGATCATGGTATATTTGTCCTGGACTGCCATCTCTAAAGAAGCTTTTCTAAGACATCCATGGGATCTAGTTGATACAGGAACATGCATGCTAGAGAATAACTAAATTCTATCAAAATCAGAACTCTCTTTTTCTCTTTGCCTGACACTACAGAGATAGTATAGTTTTAATAGTTTTTTTTAAGTATTTCATTTACTTTTATGTGTATGAGTATTTTGCATGCATGTATATAAGTGCACCCATGCCATGCCTGCAAAGGTCAGAAGAGGGTGTAGGATCCCCTGGAATGAAAGTTAAAGTCAGGTGTTAGCCACCATGTGGGTGCTGGGAACCAAACCCAGGTCTTCTGCAAGAGCAGTAAGTGCTCTTAACTGCTAGGCCATCCCTCCAGCCCCTAGTTTTAATTTTTGATTAATCACTGAATCTAGAAACTAACATCATTTGCTTTTTGTTTTAGCTTGCAATAATTAGATTTTATCATTAGAGAAAATAAAATTTCTTAGTAAATTTCTACAAAACAAATTGGTATAAACAGTGGCAAAGGGACACATACATCTTTGATTATTGTGTGTGGTATGTGAAATATGGTTTCTGTCATTATTTATCTTTTGTCTTTGTCAATTCCTCTAGGAGGTGATTTCCTCTCCTTTCTGAGGAAGAGGAAGGATGAACTGAAGCTCAAACAGTTAGTGAAATTTTCCTTAGACGTTGCTGCTGGTATGTTATACCTCGAGAGCAAAAACTGCATACACAGGTAAGAAGAAAATGTTAAGCATTTGTCACTTTTATTAATACAATGCTAGAAAACTAACACATTTTCTACAATATTATGGCAAATTTCATTCATAAATCATACATTTTGGCTTTCGTGTGAAAGCTATCTTTTGCTAGATGTTTATATAGTTTACAGAAACACTTGTTTCACTCCTTATTGGAGGTGAATACCTAATTAGAAAATGACTCACCTCTTGATTAGAATTGGTTGGTTGTAATCATGAACAGCAGTGGCCTGCACCACAATTAAAAAATGGTTATATGGTTATATGATTCTTCCTTTCCAAAATCATGAAAAAGCATAATGCTGTAACAAACAATTGTGACAGTGAAGTTGGCCAAGGGTAAAAGATTTTGATGTTTTGATTATTTAAGGAGATTTTAGAAAACTTTCTGATTTTGCATGATGGCTTGGTCTTACTACTTTATAAATTGTGGTTTTAGTTACTTGAAATTGAAAATGTTCTCTACCTGAGACTATACTACTACGTAAGATCTAATGCAGAATTTGTGTCAGATCTCAAATGTATGTGTATGAGGAAAATGGGGTAGATATTGCTATGGGTTTTATTCCCTGGAAACAGTACACACTGTGTGTAATCAAGGAAGTTCCTCATCACACTGAGCTGCTGCAGACCTTAGGCAAGCTCACTCCATTATTGCAGTATCCTCTTTCCTGGGGTTTCTCATTGTACAGCCTTTGACTTGATGTTTTGTTGAGATTGCTACCTAAGCATTGTGGGGAGGTTGTATGATACAGAATTATAGCAAACCAAAGTTATCTTCAGCTTTGCTGTACATTTACATTTTAGTAGGGGTACTATTTCTCTAGAAATTAGGACAAACTAAAACTAAACCACACCAGTATATTTCTGCCTTTCTTCCATGTCACATTGTAAGGATTCTTGTGAAGACTTAAAAGACATTTAAATTTAGATGAATTAGAGGTAAACACAAGTTATAAATACAAATGGTCTTGCTCTATGTAAAGAAAATTTGATTTTTTTTGCTAAGGTTTTAAAGGATTTTGTCCATCAAATTCTCTACAATAGTTATTCATTTTGTCTTGGGTCTTTTCCACACCATTAGCACATCTTTAGCTAAAGGCATTGATTAATATAAGTAGTTAAAATTATTTTATGAATTAAAATTATAATAATTATAGCCAGGTATGGTGGAACATGCCTTTAATCCCAGCACTTGGGAGGCAGAGGCAGGCAATCTCTGTGAGTTTAAGGCTAGCCTGGTCTACATAGTGAGCTCCAGACCAAGCTGAGGCTGCAAAAAGACCAAAAAAAATTATAATAATTATAATTATATCATTTTAATGTCTGTTTTTCTCCCAGTACTGCAGATTGAACCTAGTCCTTACACATGCTAGACAAGTGGTCTGCCACTGATTTATATCCTTCACCCTTCTTTTCACTTTTTATTTTGAGATAGGTCTCACTAATCCCCAGGGCTGGCCTTGAGCTCACTCTGTAGCTCAAACAGGTTATGAACTTGCAATCACGGTGCCCTATAATAATCTTTAACTTCTGGTGTACTATGTTTGAGGAAGCCATTGCTTCAATTTCTTATTACTTGTGATTACTTACCCCACAAGTGAATGACTTACATCAGAATTGAAATCATTCTAGACTACAGATGGCAGTTGGCATTTAAATTTGCCCTGTATCCAAATCATGACATTATATGCGACAATACTGTTTCTCATTTTCCTTTTAAGATTTTTCATACATTCACAAGTTTTTTAAAGTCAGCCTTTGCTTGGCCACAGTCATGGCAGGCTATGTGCAGTCTTGTACCACTTGCCCACTGCCAGGGTTTCCCAGCCGAATATCTTGAACGGTGTTGCTGAGAGCAGGCTTGATGAATAGGTCTCAGTGTTACAGATCTCATTGTTAATGCCAACTTTCAGTGATTGATAGCGAATCTCTCTGGTGTGTTCTGAGAAGAATTCCAGGACCTGTTACAAAGAATCAGTAATTGATTAGACATGTCTGACAAGCATTAACACATAAGCCCCAACTTTGTCATCTTTGGCCTATAATAATCTTGTTTTTATTCTCATAAATATATTTCTAGATTTTTTAATGTTTGATATGATTTTATTAGCAATAATCTAGTAGCAACACTGTTTTGCTATTCACTTTCACTGAATTCTAATGTGTCTCTTCTCCGATTTTCCTTGCTAATCATGACTCCTAAATGAATTTTCTAGTATCTACAGCAGATGATCGTTTGTATCTCTTTAAACTTAAACTTATGTCAATTTTTTTTCTTTCCATTTGAGTACATCAATCTTTGGAATTATATTAAGAAAATAAATCATTTGTGTTGAATTTTTAATAGTAGCGAATTGTATTGTAGAACCTTGTTCTTTTGTGCCATTCTACAGAACTATTTTTTTTTTTTTTTTGGACAGCATAATCACAGTGGATTTGACTTGGTTTATAGTCTTAAAATACATTCAACTCATATTACCAAAGAAATAGCATAAAATATATAGTACTTACTAGAGTAAAAAGGCTTTTTTCCATCTTTGTAAGAATTTCTAATAGGGTATTTCAAAAATTAATTTAAATAATGTGAACCATGATTGAAATTTCTTTTCATTTTGCAGGTAATGCAGAAAATCACTAAGTTCCATTTTTGACACCCCAAAATATTGCTGAAATAAATACATGTCAAAATTTGTAAAAATACAAGAAAAAATTATATGCTCTAAATTCTGTATGACTTAAAATTTTTATCCTGGGGCCTAGAGAGATGGCTCGGCAGTTAAGAACACTGGTTGTCCTTGCAGAAGACCTGGGTTTGAATCCCAACACCCACATGGCAGCTAACAACTGTCCGTAACTCTAGTTCCAGGGTCTGACAGCCTCTTCTGTCCTCCACAGGCATTGCATGACATGGGTGCACTGACCTACATGCAGGCAATACACACATACACATAAAATAAAAATAATAAATACAATATGAAAAAAAATTTAATAAAAAAATTAAAAATTAAAAAACATTTTCGTGTTCACCAGTTAGAGGTCATTGGAACTCAGGATGTAAAAATGATTCTAAATATTATCTTTAACTTTTGAGGGAAACATTTTTTTCTTTTTTCTTCATATATAATTACTACAAGAGAGCAAAGCAATGTTTTATTGAGGAAAAAATAAGTATGACAATAAGGAATAACCTGGATTTGGATAACCATTCTTGAATATCCATTTTTTTATATTTAAAAAGGATAATCCTCATTGCCATGTGCTTTAGTTAAAAATCATAATCTGCAGGGAGTTGAAGGACCATCACTTAGCATCACACCATCCCATGTCACTGTCAATAGCAAACATTTGAAAAGTGAGATAGAATGTAATTTTTTTCTTATTTTAAATTTTGTACTGACTCTGTTTCATATTTGTTCATATTTTGTTATGAAGTAACAAGTCTACAAATTAAAGTCTGGCAGATCATGTTTATCTTATCAAGGATTTCATATGTCCATTATTTCCAGGACAGGTTAAGCATTCCTACTATGAAAATGTGAAATCTAAAATGCTCCAAATTATGAAAGCTTGGAGCACCATCATGACACAAGTGGAAAAACCCACACCATGAAACACTGTTTCATGTTTTAAATTATTTAAAATGTTTTATAAAATTACCATTATGCTATGTACATAAGGTATATGTGAAATATAACTGAATCTTATGTTTAGATTTGAGTCATGTCCAGAAAATGTCCCATTCGTTATATGCAAATAGTGAAAAATATGAAATCCGAAATACTCTGATTCATGTGAGATCAGGAACACTCAATAAATACTTCACAAATCAGTTACTTGATTGTGCTAGTAGGATGCCAGCAGTACATTTGTGGTCCCTGACTTTAGAAGGGTATGGCAACAAATATTAGTGCAGAGATCATCAATTTTGTGATAATATGTATACAATTCATTTGGAATACTATAAAGATTATCTAATATGACCTGTTAGTGTGGGGACTGCACTAATATTCAAATAATCAAGGAAAGTTTTGCAGAAGGCCCTGTTTGAGTGAGACCTGATGGATGGGTGTGTTGAGTAGAAGCGGAATGTTCCAACTGAAGAAAATTAGAAATGAAGTTACAGTGCTTTGTGTGGGATACTGTGACTTAATCAGCAAATTTCAAAGAATTGGCTCTTATATGGGAAATTCAAAAGGGATGGGACTAAGGTTACACAGGATTATGTTCATCAAAAGCATACAATGTCATGGTGACTAGGATAAAGAAGGGGCAGGGATGCACATTCAGATTATCCTAAGTTGATATGCTGTAGTTTAAAATGGAAGAATAACTGGAGGAAAATTCACAAAACCCTGAAAAATATATAATGTCATGAAAATGTATAGGTATAAGTTTATTTTTGAACCTCAGTAGAAAAACTAAATTAGGAAAGTTGAGGTTGTCCAGAAGGAGCAATATTCTTCCTCTCATTCTGCGTGTTACAGAAGAAGGCCCCGTTCAGTTATTTCTCATGAGGTGTAAGCATATATACTTTCAAAGATGAATCTAAAATGTTCTTTCTATGTTTTGTTTTGGTGTTTGCTTGATTTTGAGGCTTCACATTTTAAGAATTAGGGGCTTGGCAGCAGTGAGGGACCAAGGCAGCATCTTCCTGTCTTCTTTTGTGAACATGTGGGCTTTGTTTCTTCTTGTTGGTCTGTGCCTTCATTTCCCACTTGCTCTAAAAGCTGTGTTCTTCTGCCCTATTGTACAGGATCCCAGATGGCATCAGAGTCCTGGTCCCACCATATTTTCACAGTGATCTTGGAGACTCTTTTCCTCTTATTTTTTTTTACCCACAGTTCATATACTGGCATGTGAGCACTTTGTAAGCTTTGAATGTACTGAGAGGCATTTTGTGCTTAATATAGTTTAAAATATATTATTGTATGTAGTATATTTGGATAAAGACAAATAAGTCAACAGCAAATAA